AGGATGACCCCCATAGAGCTATGAAGATCTTCCATTAGGCTTGAAGGTACTGGGAGAAAGGAAGTTCCCTGGAGGTCAGTTAGTTTTTTGTCTCAGGATCTGTGAGAAAACTTGTACTTTTCCACAAGGAGACCGGCAGTGACCTACGTCCCTTTAGAGGAGAAAATCGGCCTCGCTGGCTTTGAAGGACCATCTCTCACTCCTGACTCAGACTCCCCTTTGTGGCAGGAAATAGGAGGTAAGTGGGCCTGCTTGTTCAAGAAAGGGGGTTTGCACCTGGGTTCTCTGTCTCAAGTCCACTCCCAGGGAGAGTTCACTCTACATTCTTGAAGTGGTCCTTCAGCAGGAGAAATGCTGGCGGTGCACATTTTGATGCTACCGCTAGTGAGTAGCTGTCAGTCTGTCACCTGCCTCGCACTCATAACCCTCCCGAACCGCAAGCTGTTTTGTCTTAGGTTCATGGCACTTCCCTGGGACATCCCACCGACACTGGTACAGAATGATTCTGCTTGCCCTTGGAAAATAGCGAACGAGACAGAAACTGTCCTACCCACATGGAACTCTCATTCTAAAGGAGAGAGACAGTAAGTAAATACCAGGTAGTGAAAGTGCTAAGAAGAAAATACCAGGTAGTGAAAGTGCTAAGAAGAAAATACCAGGTAGTGAAAGTGCTAAGAAAACAACAACAACTGGCTAACAGAGTTGGGGAGAAGTCAGACACAGGTCGTGGAAGGTGTCTATGGGTTGACACACATAAGCTGAGACCTGAGTGATGGAAAGGAGCCAGTCAGATGAAAGATCATGTGATGGGTGTTAGCTTGGTGCCCGAGGCACATCAAGGAGAGCATATGGCCAAAGGGAAGAAGAGGAGATGAGCTCAGGGAGGGAGACAGACCTTGGATCAGAAGTGACTTAGAGGTTAAAGTAAGAAGTTTGGGTTTTTATCTCAGTGTAATTAATGGGAGGCTATTGGAGTGCTTCCCTGGAAGGGAGTGATACGATCTGATACATACTTTTATTTTAATGTTTTTCTTATTGTTTAAAGTGTTACATATGTCCCCTGATGATACATACTTTTAAAAGCAACAGATGGAGCCCTTGCCGGTTTGGCTCAATGGGTAGAGCACCGGCCTGTGGACCAAAGGGTCCCGGGTTTGATTCCCGTCAAGGACACGTACCTTGGTTGTAGGCTCCTCCCTGGCCCCGACCCTGGTTAACAAAAAAACAAACAAATAAAATCAAAGATGGAGAATGGGGCAGGGATGAAAGCAGGAATATCAGTTAGGAAGCTCTTGCCAGCAGTGAGAGGTATTGATGAGCGGGACTGGGGTTTTCGGAAGACGGGCTTTGATGGTGTTCAGATCTATTAGACTCTATTAGCGATACCTCTTTAGCACAAGCACGTATAGGGACTAAGATAAACCTTTCTCCCACCAAAGCTTTCCCAAAGGAGAAATGTATATGTAACCATATATACACCCACAGATAGCATGTAGATGCACATATTTGGAAGGAAGAAAGGAAGAAAATAACGCGTAAGTTTATTTACAACGTAAGTGAATATCTGGAATACTTTATGAATTAAGACTCTTTCCTATAATAGACATGTTTTGTAACTATGTACTTAGGAAAAAAGATATGGTTTACTTGCTTTGGAGTCAACACAAGCCTTGGGGTTAGAGGTTACATTTCCTGAGAGAATAAGAGTCTTCAGTAAAAAAACCACTCATCAGAGAATACTTGCCTTTTAAATTATTGAAATTATGATGATGTTTTAACCATAAATGTTTATGAGAAAAACATTGATCCTGATCTGTGAGTATCTGCGTCTGTGAGAAGAGATCTATGAGATGTAATGGAGAACGGGGCCCAGTTGGATTCAGTGTGAATTGAGCCTTTTTAATTCACCAAGTTGTAATATTCTGTCTCCTTACAGGGAGCACAGAACGAACAAGGTAATTTTTAGTTGATGAGAGTGCATCCTCCCGCTGCAAGGCTCCGAGTCAGGATAGACATAATATACACCTGCCGTCCCTTTTAATCAAGGCAGTGGAAGTCTATACCTGTTATTATTCCATCTTTCACTGCTCATAGACTTTCTGGTTTCACAGACAGGATCAGCAGATAGGAATAGCAATGGATTCAGAGTTATCTTGGAAGTAACCTTAGGGAAATGCTCTGATGCATGGAATGAGGGAGGTAAGAAAAAGCATTATCACCTCCATTTCAGGGATGAGGAAATCGAGCAAGTCCACTCACACCCCAGTAACTGGAAGAGTCGGGCTTCCTACTGACAGGCACCGAAGCCCACGCTCTTCTGTACTGGACATCCGGGGAGCACTGAGCTTGGTCAGGCAGAGCCTACTTCACATTCGAGAATTCCGCCTCTAGTTATTTTTAATATATATATTTTTATTGATTTTCGAGAGGAAGGGAGAGAGAAAGAGAGACAAAAACATCAATGATGACAGAGAATCATTGATCAGCTGCTTCTTGCATGCCCCACACTGGGGATCAAGCCCGAAACCCAGGCATATGCCCTGACTGGGAATTGAACCTCAACCGCCTGATTCATAGGTCAATGCTCGACCACTGAGCCATGCTGGCCTGTCCATCTCTAGTTTTGATAAGGCACCTCCTACCCCACCTCAGTGGAGAGAACCACTTGCTAACCACTTGATGACAGCTTACCAATTTTATAAAAATGCTTCCAAAAGTAATAAAAAAAGTAAGTTAAATTCACAGCCAAAGATGAAGATTGTTATTTTGAGATTTCTTAAACTCTATTCTATACTTAACCAAATTTCGCTGCTTTGAACACTATGAATAAACACTCAGTAATTTACTCAGTAAAATAGTTATTAGCACCAACCACATATCAGGAATTTTGTTAGGCAAGGGATACTGCATGGGGCCTTTTTCATTTCTGAGTTTGTAGGAAGTGCAAAATGACCTAGCGCAAATAATACCTAATTATGAAATTTCGAGTTCCTGCCCTGATTCATTGCCCTCTACCTTGTGGGTCTCTGTGTGCCTTCCCAGAGCATTTATTTTGGCTTTGGCTAGAATTAATGAGAGGGAAAGACATATGGAATGCAGGTGCCAAAGGCTTAACGGCTTAACAGTTGGTCAAAGATGATCAAAGAAAAGGTGAGAAGATACAGAATGGCAGAGGCATGATGAGAAATGATGATGATCCAGGGAAAGGGAGAGAAAAGCACTATCCCTTAGTTTTGTTGAATAAAGAGTTGGCATATGAAGAACGTGAGGGAGGGTTAGATGGTTATATGTAGACGAGGGAGGAAATAGACATGATTGGGGGGGGGGAAGAGGAATAAACATGGGTTGTATGAGTATTCAAGGTATTTGCTCTTTCCCCAGAACAGTCTCTGGGTTGACCCTTGAAAATTAGTTAAATTAGGGATAAAGTCTCTTGCCCATTAGCTCTAATTCCTATGAACCTCCCATCTTTTTTTTTATTGGGATGAAATTCACATATTACACAATTAACCATTTCTAAAGTATACGCTTCAGTGACATTGGGTGCCTTCACAATGTTGGCAACTACCACCTCTTCCTAGTTTCACCTCCCCTTTGTTTTAATTACTGGTATTTGACTCTTATTCTTTCACCCAAACTCTTATTCCACCAAAGCCATCATCTCTGCTGGGACCCAGTCCCCAGAATGCCCTATTCTGATGCAAAAAGAAGGCAAACTAGCAAGACTTAGACTTGAGAGCAGGCAGGTCGCACTACTTAGCCCAGCAACCAACCCAGCCTTAGTGAGTTGAAGCTGGGGAGGAGGGAAGCGTGGAGGTGGTGAGGAGACAAAGCCTTCTCCCAACATGGGGGAGGCACCTTTTCGACAAAACCCACTCACTCACCTGATTATTCTGGGCAGGTTCCTAATGCCCGTGAGTACACTTCTCAGCTTTGTATGCACCACACTCTAGAGCAGCAGACTGATAACCCTTTCCTCCCAAGAGAGTACTTGTCACACCTAAGACCTCATGGCCCCTGTACATGATGGTATAATGGCATATTTATTCTTCTGTTCACAAGTTGCTTTAAAATGTACTTAAGATAGTTACTAAAGCCCTAGCCGGTTTTTCTCAGTGGTTAGAGCATTGGCCTTCGAACTGAAGGGTCCTGGGTTCGATTCAGGTCCAGGGCACATACCTCATATCTCGGTTGCTGGCTATTCCCCAGCCCAGGCCCTGGTTGGGACTCCTGCAGGAGGCAACCAATCAATGTGTTTCTCTCACATCCATGTTTCTCTCTGTCTTTCCCTCTCTCTTCCACTCTCTCTAAAATTCAATGGAAAAATATCCTCAGGTGAGGATTAAAAAAAAAAAGTTACTAAAAGCAAATAACGTCTCACTGATGGCCCAGCAGACGTAGTGCCATCTTCTTTAAGTCCCTGCTCAGTCAACAGCAATACTTCTAGAAGCTTCTACAGTGACCTCCAGACACAGTTAACTCTTATATTCCTCAGTATTTTCAATACCACTTTGAAGACCAATATCATAGACTTGTGATAATTATTCCTAGTTGGCCACCTTGTGAGATCCTTGGGGGCAAGGAATATGCTTTACTCATCTTTTCATTGTAACTCAGTGCCTGGTACTTGTACAGACAATGAAATCCTAGGGGGAGCGAGAAGGTTCTCCTCTAACCTCCATCACACACGCTGGATTTGCCCTCCCTGGAACCAGCTAGGAGGCCACAGCAACTTTGTTTTTTTGTCAGTCCTCACCCGAGGATATGTTTCCATTGATTTATAGAGAGTGGAAGGGAGGGGGAAAGACAGAGCCCAATGGAGGACTTGATGTTCTCTAAGTTTCTGTGAAAATAAGCAAACAGCCATCCTGTTTTGCTAACCCTGGTTCTCTAGGGAAATAACTTCCCTGTTCCCAGTAAAACAGAACTGCTCCCAGTGGTGTTAAAACAGGGAGGGGGGGGGAACCCACAAAAACTCGAAGGTAGCATTAACCACATTAGCACATCGTCACAAAAATGATCTTTTTTGGTGTGGGCAGATGGGGATCCCAGGAGGCCAGGGATGCATAAGTGAGACCGAGGAAGAGAGGCTGCCGGCAGAATCTCTCGGGGAGTCTGCGCAGGTGCCCAGGGTGCTGGGCAGCCCCTTTCCAGGGCTCAGACCATGCAGCCTCTAGCACTGTGGGCTAGAAAAAACAACAGAGTTCGATTATACCACGGTCTCCCTAAAAATGCCCGCACCCTAGAAACCAGAGCACTTTCCGCAGCGGGAGGTACCGGTGCAGTCAGTCCCGCGGAAGCTCAGGCCCCGGGAGATGGCGTCGGTCCTGGCACCGGGGCAGCCAGTTCTCACGCAGCCCGTTTCCTCCGCGCGGTGGGTGCCCCACGCCTTCCGTCTCCCCGATACCCAGCCTGGCGCTCCGGGTGGAGGCAAGAAAATGAGGGCACAGCTTCCGCTCGCCGCCGGTCTGGAGGGGTTGGTCCGAGCACAGCTCTGCCTCCTCACCTCCCAGTGCACGCACAGGTCCCCGGCGGCCACGGGGAGCCCCCTGCGGGCGCTCCGTGCACCGAACCCGGCGCCAATTGAACGCCCGTAGGCGGCCACGAAACCGGGAAGCCCCAGCGGAGGGACCTCCTCCCCAGCAGGGGGGCTGCCCGGGGCGCCCCGCCTCCCCGCGCGCGGCCCACTCTCGGGGGGTGTCACACCGGCCCGCGGTGATGTCACACTTGCAGGGCTGAGGTTTTCCAGCCGGACCCCCTCCCGCCACCGGGCACCTTCAGATCCTCGCGGGGTCGATGCGGAGGGGCGGGGAGCCCGGCCCCCGCCCGCGATCCACGCTGGCTCCCCACGGAGGCCCCCGCGGGAGCCACGGCGAGCTCCTCGCGCCGGCGCCCTAAGGCGTCCGGGTCCGCCGGCTCCCGGCACTTCCGCCTCCCGGCACTTCCGCCTCAGTAGGTGTCATGGCGCCGGCGGGTGCGGAGTTCCCGCGGGGCGGGGCCGGCCGGATGGGGCGGCCGCTCGGCGCTCGGCTCGTCGGGTCTGGCTAAGAGGCAGCAGCGGCGGCGGCGGCGGCGGCGGCGGAGCGAGGGG